CGTACCCGGAACAAATGGACCAATCCGTGGAGCCGTTACGTTACGTCCGCGGAGCCGTTATGTTAAGCCCCCGCTGATTGGTCCAAATTGACCAATCCACGGACTTCCTCACACACACACTCAGTGCAGGCAGCTCTGCTGATCTCTGCTCCCTGGCTGCAGGCTGATAACAGACAGTTGGGATCGCGGCGAAATTCTCTCTGCAGACCCATTCTCACAGCGTTTATCAACCTTTCTCTTACTCAATATCAAGCCACACTTATTGTTTTTACTTCGGCTGTGACTTTGTGTGTGCTCAGGGTGAGTTTGGATGTGTTTCGCTGTGTATCGCTAAACAAGGAAACCACACCTCCACGGAGCTCAGCGCGATTCACAACGTCCCGACCAATCAGAGCACACTGTGCTCACAGGGAGGGTGGGGGCTGGAGCTATGGAGCTATAACGAGCCGTTAAAGGCAGAGAGTGAATTTCAGTGAATACACGTAGTTTACAGAGATGTTGTTTGAGAAACCAATGTGAGTTTGGAAAATTGCACAATATAAATCTATTCTAGTAGACCTCAACAATGGAATTATGATCAGTGGAAATGGCCATGACATGGGACCTTTAAGACAACTCTGTATGTTTCAGGTGTTTTGATTAAGGAGCTTTCTTAATCAATCTGAAGAGATGTTGTCTATTGTAAGTGTGACACTTATCCCATTGAGCTGAGAGTGAAGCAGGTTTAAATCCTGTGTCAGGTGATCGTTACCTGGTCTTTGCCGCTGCTCACCGCACCGGGTTTCTTCTTCTTTTTGGTGGGGCAGGGGGAGGCTTCAGCAGAGGAGTGACCATTGGATGAGTGAGAGGGACTCGATATCTTTCGTTTGTGGGTCACCCGTTCTGCTGATCCAGAGTCTGAAACTGCAGGCAGAGGTCAAAGATTACACAAACCAAGGAGGGCTCTCTGGTGGCCTACTTAGAGCAGGAAACAAATACCAGAAATGACACCACATTTGTTTCCTGCACTCTCACAGTCAGGTTGGAGCCAGTTAGCACAGTGAGTTGAATAGTATGTAAAGTAAAACCAAGACAGGCACATCTGAACCACTTTACACAATAATGCATCGCCAGTATAGAAACAGAGCTTTGCCAACCTATCAAAAACCAACTTGTATATGTTCTTACCTTTGGATCTTGTGGAAATCTCCATTTCTTCTGATTTAACTTCAGTTTTCTCCTCTTCCTCTGCCACACTGATGCAAAAAACATCAAACATCTATCAGTCACACCTCACCAACAGCTGAAGATGTGTCTTATTTATAACTTGTGCCATATATCATTAAGTTAGAAATGTGTTTGAAATTGTTCCTTAGGACAACTTGCTAAGAGTTAAGTGGTACACTCAAGTTGGGGTTAAAGAGGTTAGCCCATTTCTTACTGTCAGTTGTCTGCTACACTTTATCCTATGAAAGCCAAAAGTAGACCCCCCCCAAAAGGATGTACTGCGTCTTAAATGCGTGCAGCATCACAGTTTATAAGCCTCCCTAACTACTCGAATTGAAGGCCAATTGAAATATCCAACTATTTGATAAATATTTAATTTTCCAGGTTCCCCATTGTTAGAGTTAAATCGGAGCATCAAAAACACAACTGATTGTTTGCAAAGTGCCAAAATTGTCAAGATATGGACCTCCAGTCTTGTGCTACATTAGTGTAAATGTAAATGCTATGAGTTTTTTTATCAAACAGTCTCACATAGTTCCTCAAATATTTCCCTTAGCTTCGTACAATGGGGTTTTTCTAGACAAGAAAGGCTTTCGCTCCTTGACAGCGATATCATTCTGTTTAGAGTGAGGGTGTTTGGATGGGAACAGACTTATCTTAAAGCGCTCAAAAACATTAAATTGCATCTTCAAACTACTTCTGACAAAGTTTTCTGAAACCACACCATAGGTCAAAAAGGCGTAGACTGATAAATGAATCCATTGTGACTGTGTTTCGTTTTTCACAATCATTTTTTTGAGACAGAAGTGACTCAGATTCTTGTTTCACGAGCGCTGTGTGCAGTTGAATAACAAACATTGCTTCCAATCTGCTCTACTCTGCTGAACGTTACATAATATCAATAAAGACATTTTAAGCTTTTAAGCTAAATTGATATACGCATGAAAACAGCTGGAAAGAGTCTGCAAAATGCCAGAAACATGAGAGCCAGACACTATACTGGTACTATAGGAACACGATAGAACAGAATTTTGTTCAGATATCTCTTAAATGTTGATAATATCTAAAACACAATTAAAGTAAAAAGGTAACCAATACTAGAGCAAAGACAGCTCAATGTGCAAGGCCGTTGTCCAACCTTAAACTGCAGGCACCTTTCTCCACCAACCACAGATCTATAAATAGTAAACATGACACACAACACAGTAGAATCTGCGTCTGACATCCAGCGAGGGAAAAAAAGACTTCCCTGTTGTTTCAAAACACTCATGTAATATTAATTGAGCAAGTGACCTAATAAAGGAGAGCCTACCATTATGGATTGCACAATCAAATCCCCAGTTCTGAGGAGAAACGTTTCCTGGAAATTCAAGATACACTTAGTGCTGTGAAACACCCTCTTTTCAAAATCCGCCCAACAGGTTAATTCGGTATCAGTCCAACATGATTCAGCTTGGTTTGCAGTCACAATCTTGTCGAGCCTGTTACTGTTGCCATTTTCTCTGACGCCACAGCAGTAAAACCTTCCTCACTGTCTCATATTGCCAATTTCTGTTTTTCTTTCTACAGAGGTAAGGCACCATTTGGATGTATTGTGTGAAAAACATAGACTGAAAACAGAAATACTGCTGCCATGTGAATAATCTTGGCTACCCCTCCTGCTCCTCAATCACTAAAGGAGGATGAAGCATGAGACAGGAACACAGCACATCTGCAGAAACAGACAGGAGTGCACTGCAATGGTTTTACTGGCCTTCTCATCTAACGTGTCTGGACATCCTCTGACAACAAACCCTCTCAACATCCTGTCCTGTCCAGGGCAGGAAATACAGCAAGAAAAGACAAAGAGAAAGACATGGACGGTCACACAGGCGGATATCAATAGTGTCCATCCTGAGAAAAACATTTCAAAATCAAAGACCCACAGAGGACACATTGTTACCTCCTGACACAACCCTCTCCACACCCACTATTACCACAACACCCATGCTTCAATGAAGGAAATGAACAGCATACCTTTTTTTCCTTACTCACACACAGATTCTTCAGCTTATTCTTTAATCTTTTTCAATTATTCAGGGCGTTGGGGGGATGAGGGAAAAGATGGGTCCAGGTTTCCCAGAAGGCCTTCTCTCCCTGCTGCTCTCTCCTGCAATTGTCAATCTTTAACCTCGGCTGCAGGCTGCCGATTGGCTTGAGCGCCACACGGAGGCGCCTGATTGGGTGCTCGGCTCGGTGTGCCACACGGGCTCCCTTCTCCCCGCTCTCCTCAGCCTCAGTGCTGCAATGCAGAGAGGACTGCTCCTGCTAAAAAGCCTCCTCAAAACCCAGGCTCCCGCTGCCTTTAAAGCACATACAGACATTTAGCAGTCACTCATGTAAGATGCCGCTCTACGGGCTTGACAGGGAGAGGATCAGATTCCCTCCCTCACTTTGCTCTCAGCCAGTGTATCTGTATGGCATCCATTTTGAACACTCTCTCTCTCTCTCTCTCTCTCTCTCTCTCTTCTCCTCTCTCTCTCTGACCACTGTGCGCACCGCACACAAACAGCACGTACACACGACACAAGTCAAATCTGCTGTAAAAGACCTCATGCGGCTTATTATGTGGCCCAGCATGTTGATATGCAGCATGGGCCTGATGCTGGACACAAAGACAGGACTGGAAATGTCACAGGCCTCCCAGACAGCATGGAGGGACTAAACCCCTCCCTCCTTCTCCCCCTCTCTTTCTCTCTCTCTGCAATGCTTCTTCAACATATCCTGTCTCATAATCAATACCTGCCTGGAGACTTGAGTGTGAGCACCAACAAGACAACATTAACACGAATTAGAAAATGAGAGGAACGCCATGTATTTCCCATCATCTGTGAGATCTTTTTTATGTTTGATCAAATTTCTGCATTTCTTTTAATCACCATTGAGCAGGATTTTTTTTTGAAATGCACAGAATTAAAACACATTGGTTTATATTCAGTGCAATAGAAGTATCCCTCATCACATCCAGGCCAAAATGTCAAGGCCAATTACATTAACTACGAAGTTCCAAGAAGGTCAAAGGGTGGATATTAAATACACACACCAAACTGAACAGGCTGTCTGTGTCGGTTTACCCCAATCCTCACACCATAGTTGAATGAAGGGATTAGACAAATTACCCAGCACCATTCACAAAACACTTCAGTCAATGCTCCTGAACTCTGGTCAAGCAACATTATGTGCGTCATTATATACAGGCTATAGTTTCCTTTGGTTATATGTAAAACACAGCATTTGTCATCCACTAAGAATAACAAACAGATATGCCCAATTCCACCTGGAATATATCCAATTCAGGAATAAACGACAATCTTGATACACTGGCAGAAAGACACAATTAATAACTACATTTAAAAAAAATCTGATTCATGCACACAGGAAACTGACATGAATACATGGATAAACAGAATCTAACCTGGTCGACTTCAAACAGGTTTTCAAGCCTCTCTGGATGAGATGAGGTTTCTATGCAGAGCCTTTTCAGAGGAAGTCCTTCCCTTCTTCTTTCCTTCTTTCTCACATACAAATACCCAGTGTGCTTGGAGCAGAGGGACAGAAAGGGGAAGCTCTCTAAAATGGCTGACACTCGGTAGCAGAGAACAACACTGGGAGGCAGTGCACAGGCAATTCCTCCAACCCTGAGAGAAATAATCTGCTACGGCATATTTACTCCTAGATATTTTTGGAAAACCGGTGAGCGGCTTACAGGTTAAGGCCTGCTCAAAGCATGATTCGCCAGGTAAATTATGTAATTGTGGTGAGATGAACTTGGTGTGTGGCGTAGAATCATTTACAATCTGTTTTTTATTCCCATGTTAGTCTGGTAAACAATTGCTGCCTTGCTCTCGCTCCAGTCTGAGGCCTAAATTAAACTTGCTGTGCTGTCAGTTTACCATCTGTTAATTCCTCTGGGGACTCCCCTCTGCACTGCTCCCTGTCTCTGCCATCCTGGATCCCTCACCAGGCCTGCCATGTTGACCGCATATAGGCCAGGGCCAGCCACAAAACCTCTTTTATGATCTTGACAAAAGAAAAAGCAGATTAATGTCAGTGTTCTATGAATGTAATGACCTTACACTTGACCTGTGACCCCCTACCGTCCTGTTAGCAAACACTGTACCATGCTATGCTCTCCTTTAAAGCTCCACTCCTATGCTGTGGGGTGACAAATGATCTTCCCCCTCCCCCAGTCTGTCAGAGAAACCTGTATTATTACCCAGGCACACACACAGTAGCTGGTGCCTTATCAAGAGATGTGTGAAATAATAAAAATAAGGCTTACCTCTGTGGATGCATGGCTACAAAACTCTGTGTGATATGCAATGCTTATTTAAACATGGAGGACAGCCCTGTCAGCCCTCACCCTGCTCAGAGCACAGCCACGGCTCTCCAAGCTGTCCGACACACTGCTCTGATAGAAGGCGCGCAGAGACTGGCCGCACATGCCGACAGAATGAAAGGCAGCTGCTGATTGGCTAGTGCATTTCCTGGCTGCTTGTCTTTTGTTCAGCACAGGCAAGCTCATACGCAGTACTCAGAGCAAGAGGAGCTAGGCCCAAATAAAAAAAGTCTGCCTCTGTACACATATCAGTTACTATTAGGACTGTATACAGCTGTTGTTGTTTCAGTTATAAAGAAGGCCTCTGGTGTAAGGGAAGTCAGCAGATGTGCACACAAAGAAAGGCCTGTGGCTGTATTCCTAAGGAGTCTCAATAGTTCTCAATCTCAAGTTCAATCAACCTTTATGGGAAATATGAATACGGTGCTTAACAAATAAAAGCAATGAGTAAACAGACGCTAAATGGAGTGTACTATGTCTCTTTGGCAGGTTTAACAGCAAGGTCGGAAATGCAGACTGAATTACAGTCATGTGATTTGCCTAACGCTTGCTTTTGAACTGATGTGATCTCATGGTAACAATGTGGTTCCGCATAGACAAGATTACGCTGTTAAAGCAACAGTGACTTTCAGTTTTGTATATCATTTCAACATGATTCAGCAAGATCTTCAAAGAAATGTGTGGTAACTCAGAAAACATTGTTGGCACTTGATTTTGTTTGGCTCATCTTTAGAAACATATCTTTTTTTAATTACAGCTGAGTTTGCTTTTGATTAAATACATTTCCCATAAGTCAAGGAGGATGTTTATTAATTGCAAATGTTAGCAAAGCTTTTATTATCTTTTCCTGTTGCTCAAAATGGATGCTATACATCGATGTCTTTTAATTAAAATGTAAAATAGCTTTTAAAAATATCCATTATCATTTTGACAAAAACGTTTTTATCTTAAGTATTTTATGGTGTTATAATTTATTTACACACATATGCAAAGTGTGTGCAGCTCCCATGCACGTACCAGAGAACTCTCAGCACACACTCACATCTAGAAGCAGGGAGGACTTAGTGTGTTGCTAAAAAAGTGAGAGATATGTATGCCGATTGTCTGAAGATGAGCAAAGCAAGATAAATGGATTATTCCAACATTATAACCATCAAATAAAATGCATGCAATATCAAATGATGTTTGATTGCACATACACTCTTGGAAAAAAGTAGCAAATAACATGACAATAGCAACATTAGGTCTACATTTAGGTAAGACATTTAAAAGATGCTACCTGCATACAGATTAGCCGATGATCCTTTTCATGTCTCTTAAAATCTATAGAATTATTTAATAAATGCGTGTCGCCCGAAGACTGGTCCTGGTTCAATGCACATTGTGAATATTTAATGGAAGTACCAGTATGCCATCTATCCAACATCGAGCAGCAGAATATGTTATGCATCACTTGTAAATTCTTGACATAATTCAAAACAGGAATCCTTATGAGTCACCCTATGGTGGGTTGATTTGTTTGAAGGGAAAAACAAAAATGATTGTGGGTGACTTCATCACTTCACCAGGCTCTAACATAAACAAACCATCTGCGTTGATCTGAGTAATCCACATTTAATCATGTTTTTTAAATATATATTTGTTGTGACTAATGCATGAATAACCTATTATCCATCCTTATAGTTGTGTAACAATTCAGGAAGTACTCTTGGTCTGTCAACACAAGCTTTGTCTGAGTAACTTTTGTGAATTGGTTGCACAACAGATAATGCTATGACTTTGGTAATGAACCTCCTCAGTTGCTTTGCTTTACCCAAATCATTTTTATGGACAACTATGTACTGCATGCAAACCCTTGAATGTTTTCACCTCATGATTGTGTGGGGGTTTTCCACAGTATTGAGTATGTAAGTCACTTTGGATAAAAGCGTCTAACAAGTAACATGTAATGTAATGTAATGTGTCTCTGTAGCTAAAACATTGTGAGATGGAATGCATTGTTACACTTGGCGATAATGCTAATTGCACTCTGCTTTTTGTAATTTATAAAATGTGACTGCTGTGAAAAAGTCTGCACTGCTCATTTGATTGTGGCCTCTCCTGCTAAAGGGCGAAAGACAGCAGTGACCTCTTGTGGGGAAACTCATAACAGCTCAGTGCACACCAGCCCAGGGATTCTCAAAGGTCAATAGCAAAGAATTAGGCTGTATAAAGAAGAATCACCAGATAAATAAGTTCACCTAGGAGTCCACTGTGAAAAAAGGCTTTCAGATGTGTTGACATTATAAGCAGGGGATGCATATGAGTGTACAATGTAGGATGGAGTATAATGGTTTAAGCCTGCATCCATGTATTCCCTCAATGGGATAACAGTTTGAACTGACTGTTAGACAGAGGTGGAAGAAGTACTCAGATATTTCACTTCAGTAAAAGTATAACTATCAGAGTGAAGGAATACTCTGCTACAAGTAAAAGTCCTGTATTCAAAATGTTACTTAAGTAAAAGTACAAGCATATTGGCCTCTAAATATACTTAAAGTACCAAAAGTAAAAGTACTCTTTATGCAGATCGGCCCATTTCAGAAAAATATAACTTTCAGAAGGACTATCAGCTAAATGTGCTTCAGTATCAAAAGTGAAAGCACCTGATATGCAGAATGCACAATATTATGTTATTATGGTTATTGTACATGTAAGAGCATTTTAGAATGTAAATTGGTCAATACTTAAAATACTATATAGATTAATATAACATTACTGCAATATACCATATCAGCTTATTATGTGTCGCTATATGAAATAAATAACTGAGTGTTAAATAAATGTAGTGGAGAGAAAAGTAGAATATGTGCCTCTGCATTGCAGTGGAGTATAAGTATAAGGTGGCATTAAATGGAGAGACTCAAGTAAATAATAAATATCTCAAATTAAGAACGGTACTTGAGAAAATATACTTAGTTACTTTCATCCACTGTCACAAGGCTACCACTTAGCCATTTGTTTTAGCTAGCTTCTCCACGGCTATGTCACTAAATTGCAGCTACACCTTAAAAACGTGTACCGAAAACAAAATAAACGTGGGGAATGTTTTCACATAAGTTAATTTTTACATTTCTTGCCAATAAACGTCAACATCTTCACACCTGGCTTGTAGTTAATTAGCTAGTGAGTTAGCTTCAGGTAACACTTAACAGGGACTATTAGCAAAGGACGTCATGACAAATCTCACACTAAGCCTGTACTTTAACCAGATGTTTAAACCTATAACTGTGGTGACACAGCACATAATATAACATCATCAGGTTATATATATATATATATATTATGTCACCTTAGTCAGGCTCCACTTTTAGTTTATTTGGTGTCCATCCTGCAGACCGGTGTTGTTCTGAAGTGGCCAGCTGGTAATGAGACCTGCTGTCCCCAAGATGGCGCCCCAGCCAGACTTTGCCTGCTCAGGTAATTCCTGGAAAATAGTCCTTCCTTTCCTTGAAATCTGGTCACTTTCTTTGCCTATAATTAATTATTTATTTTTCATTGACATTTACCAGAGCTGCTATTAAAAAATCAATAGTTTAACACGCAAAACGCTATTTAAAGCAAACTGTTTCTACACCCACATCTTGAAACTATATAGACTACAAATAAAAATGATTGGAAGGTCTTGCTTTAGTGCCTTGTATTTTTTTGAGGTAAGAAACAGATTGTATTTATCGTTTTATTCGAAAGAGGACTGTTTTTTTAAATTTGCATTATTGAATTATTGATTATATGAAATGGAAAAGTATGTTACTATCCTTTATCAATAAAAGCATTTGACAAAAATATATTCTTTGGGTATAACTGTGTTTTTAGCTGTTTTCTACTGATTTTCTTTTTTATAATTAATGCAGGGAAGCCAGAGGAACTATTATAACACAGATAACCCTGCTAACTGTAAACAACCACTAGAACGCCCAGAGCAACTAATAAACAAAGTGTATTACTGATCTTTAAATATTTTCGAGTCACCATGTCATGGTAATTCTTGGTTTTAAATGCAAAACACTTTATTGTCATCTTGCTTTAATGGTGTTATATCTAATAATGGCTGTGCATCAATGGCTGTGCAAGATGTTAGTGTGTGCTGTTGTATTGTATCTGCAGAGAAATTGGGGGATGGGAATGGGTTTAGAGTAAAGAAAGGCATGCTGTTAGCTGTTTGCAGGTAAACTAATCTGAATACATTAATGATTATGGGGCTATCTCCTGTCCTTTCAAACGGTTATCTCCTGTCCTTTCAAAGTAGAGAAGCTGAGTAGGGAGGGGGGATGGGATAAAGTGTCTCACACTCTTTGAGGGGGAGGTCAGTTTGCCATGTTTTGTGGGGGAAGGGGCACAAACACAGAGGGCCACCGGGCCCCTCTTTGGGTCTCCATGGAATGTAATTGAGGCTCTCTCACTCAGAAAGACATACAAACAGACCAAAAACACACACTACAAAAATGCAGGAAAAACTATTTGTGTTCTTTTAAAAACTGTTGGTGACTTCATCACTTCACTAGGCTCTATATAAACAAACCAACTGCGTTGATCTGAGTAATCCACATTTAATCATGTTTTTAAAATATATATTTGTTGTGACTAATGCATGAATAACCTATTATCCATCCTTATAGTTGTGTAACAATTCAGGAAATACTCTTGGTCTGTCAATACAAGCTTTGTCTGAGTAACTTTTGTGAATTGGTTGCACAATGCTATGACTTTGGTAATGAACCTCCTCAGTTGATTTGCTTTAACCAAATAATTTGTATGGACAACTATGTACCGCATGCAAACCCTTGAATGTTTTCACCTCAAAGTTTGTATAGACTGATTGCAAAATTATTTTCAGACAGGAAAGAACAAGTAGGGAGCTAATTACCAACTCTGCCTCTTCTCTTCACCCCCCTCACCCTGCTCTCCCTCCATGGTTGAACCGTACTCCCTCCTCAGTAGTAAACATTTAAAACTAGTGTGCCTGAGAGATCACCATGGAGACAGTTTCTACCATCCTCT